AGATTGAGTCATACTGTAAGGTGACGTACTTTATACGTGAATCCTAATGGAATTCATCTATTGAGTTTAAACATATGTAATGGAGTCACAAATGTAGTTTGCCATTAAGAAGCTGTGCTATGTGAGTATCCGTAAATGGATTTCGATCAATCATGTTCAGCTTTACATTTCTTAGAGAAAAATAAATATAAAACGATGCAGGTCTATTCGCTTTATACACATTTATTGCGTTTCTGCCGAGTTTTACATAGCGAAAATTAGATCACCTAAAATGTAATAAAGCAAAATAAGAATATATAACAAGAATAATATGTAACCATAAATTATTTGCGTTCACTTTCGGTTTATTAAAAGTCGATAAAAAGCGCGTTGTTTGCATAAACGCTTTGGAATTTTCTATTTTAAATACCTTTATAAAACAAAAGCTACAGTAAAAGCAGCGGCGAATAAAAATAAACATTTGTATCAGCTATTTTGAATTGCAAATAAGTTTGCATATGTGTTTAGAATGTGAACTTTCATTTTCTCCATAAGTATTCAGACTTTATTATTTTAAATAATACATACAATAATATAAACAGAACAATCACACGTCATTAGACCGTATCCATGAGAAATCAAGAAAGTGAAATAATCATAAAGTGTTTTGTTTCACTCACGTCGAGTGAAAGGGAGGAGGATGGAGGTATTAACTTAATTTTAATGATTGAAGAATTCTCTGTGAATAAAAGTAAGAGTCTTGACGTATCGCGTTGACAGAGATGTTGAAGTTTACTTTGACACGATAGTAGCTATTTATTTTTATTGTAATATATTATTTATACAGAGATTCTAAAATGTAAAATACACACTACTTTTTATAACGTAGACTAAAGATTCAGACTAAAACATCGGTTTTGTTGCGCTATTATTTCTATGTAAATGTTAACCATGGTAACAAACACAGAACTTGAGTCCACGTTGAATTATAAGGCCGATAAAGACTTATATATGACAAAAGCGTGTTTAATTTAAATTCAGACAAAATGTAATGTTTTTTACGCAATGAAGTATTAATAATTATATATATACATACTGGCTGACCCGGCAAACGTCGTTTTGCCATGTATAAATTATTTCTAGGAAACAATTTTTAGTTCAATAGAAATAACTATCTACTATAATAAAAAATAGGGGTTGTATGTATTTATGTATGCTGTATCATAAAAAATAAAGTACTGTTTAAAAAATAAAAAAGTAGGGGTGGGACCACCCTTGGGGTATGAAAAATAGATGTCCGATTCTCAGACTTACTGAATATGCATAAAAAATTGGTCGAGTCGTTTCGGAGGAGTATGGGAACGAACATTGTGACACGAGAATTTTATATTAGATTACCTATTTTGATTACAGTATTAATTCTTCATTCTTATATAGAAAGTTAAATTACAAGTTTACAAACTAGAAATTGTATGCTCTTTAAACTAACTTAAGGGCCGCCGTACACGGACTGCTTAGAGTTGAGACCGACTGCTTAAAGCCGCGACCGCGAGTGAACTATAGTCATTCATTCGCTGCCGTACACGACTGCTCGAGCAGTCGCGACCGCTTCAGCCGTCAACTGCATATGAAATTCCATCGTGCCGTCGACCGCTCGCGAGCGGTTGCGAGGCATACACCGACTGCTCGAGCCGTTGACTGCGTAGAGCAGTCGACAGCTCTCCGACTTCCCTCTCCCCCGCCTTTGCGGCCTCGCGCTCTGTTTTCTATTTGCCGGCTGTTTTTTGAAATGGAGCTGGATAGTATGCCCTTATTAGCGCAATTAAAACGCAAGAACTTATTTGGAACTATAAACTTAAGGAACACAGCGACAAATAAGAAGAACAATCATGGCAATTATTTGTGCCCAAGTAATTGAGAACTTTGATGAAAACCATTGAAGAAAAAAATCAAATCGGTAAGTAAAAAGTCATCATTTAACACACAATTTATTATTTTATTTATTATTAAAAACAGACTGGTAACAATATAATATTGTTTTGCTTCTTATTATATTTTTAATATTTAAAGAATAAGAGCTATTTAAGACGGGCCCTTTTGATTTATATCATATCCTTGCCAATCTATTTGCCTCTTCTCACAAGTAATTAGCAAATTCTTCAGGATTTTTTAAATAGGTCCACCTGGACGAACTTTGGGTTGAATGTATTATAGAATAAGGAAGACCCTCAAAGTATCCTCAAATTTATTTCCATCTCGTTGTTTTAGTAGTTGTGAAGAACAAGATATTTTACTATATCCACTGCGAAATCAACTTGACGTTGAGTGGTCTATGAAAGATCCGCCATTTATTAGCTAATATGCCAAACGTCATTAATATATCGCCTCGCACGTGATAACCGATAGTTAAAAATTTTTTTTCTCTGTAAATTCTTGCCACCATATGGACGATTAAATTTTCCTGCAAGCTAAACCTTCATCCCCAATAACACATTCGGTAATAACGTCCATTTTGTGATATTGAGAAGGTGGAGTAATTTAACTTTTTTCTTGTAAATTTATATAGACAACTCTCTTCGAAAATAGTGATAGGTCCTTCCATATGAGCCTATATCCACGAAAGTGAACATAGATTACTATCAATACTCTGAATATTATGAAAAATAATTTTTATATTATAATATAGATCCACTTTGGGGTTGTATTATTTAAATGTTTGCCATCAACGGCACCAGCATTGAAACTGAGCATTTTTTTGAAACCATTTATTATGCTTTCCACTTATCTTTAGTTAGTTTTCCATACAATATCCTTCATATGTATCCATATATTTCTGCAAACATCCCTCACTATCTTACCTATTGTTGTTGATCTTTCTAAAACTATATTGCAAATCCATAAATGTACATCCAGTTGCCAAATACCTGTAAAACATATTTATAAATCAATCAATTATACTACTTAATTTTTTTGTTGTTACAGCCATTTAATACAAAAAAATGGAAAACATTAAAGATGGATACACCAGATATCTAAAAAATTAAACCAAAGAGTGGTTCAGCAGCCCTCAACATTCGGCCATATGCATATTAAATTCTTTTTTAAAGCAATAATAGAAGATAGACCCGACAAAACAAAAGTTTACAAGAAGTGAGCAATGAAACTCCGGAGAAACCGAAAATGGTCAAAATAAAATACCCAGAGAAAGAAACAAAAGAAAATTAACTACTAAATCACAGATGAGAACTCTTAATTGAAAAATTATCCAAATTTAGATGAAAACGCAGAATTCGCGCATTGATAAAATAAGATAAATTTTTTTACTATATTTTGGCGAATTCAAAAAATTATGAATTAAAATTAGATGCTAAGACGAAATATCTTAACGTAGTGAAATACTTTAAAGGGATGACAAATCACAATATCCTTCGATTATGGTGACAGGGGATATTCATCGTTTAATGATTATCGTGACCATGGTTAATACTCCCTCTACTCTAATCAGCCGTCCCTCTAGATCAGCAACCGCCCCTCTACATCAATGGCTGATGACAAAATTCTCAATTTGAAGACCTTTCATCATGTTTTAATGTCCGATATAATTTAATATTTTTAATGAATAAAAATTTAAATAATTATATAATTTTTCTTACCTCAATGTTACTGCTAGTCTTTCTTAGGTTGATACTTCTCCTCATAATTTTCTTCCGTTTAATGTAACTTTATATATTATACAATTCATCAACGAAACTTTGACATTCTAAAATATTGAAAAATTTTTCTTCATCCTTCTATTCCATAAACAAATATGGAATTGTCCAGTTTTCTCTTAATTGAAAATTATGAACCCAAAATTTTCTCTTTTGACTGCGTGTCTCCGCTGAGAGGAGCAGCAAAAAGTGCTTCCTCGTCAGAATCCATACTCGACTATTAAAAATCAACTCTCGAGAGTTGAGTCTAGCTCGAGATAACAACCGACAGTCAGGTCCGCGACGCTCGAGTGTGTATTTCACTCAGGCTAATGCTCGAGCATCGTGTACGGGCCTAAGGGCTCTTGTGCACCTAAATATCTGGGGCATGCGAAGGTTGACTGGGATGAGGTCACTAAACAAGTTTTGCAACACGTTTTCTTAACACAAATAACAATAATTAACTGATTGCTTTAGTTTACTGTTATCTTCGAAAACTGTATGAGATATCAATCTTTTGATATAGAAATAAACTATGTTTTTATCTATATTGTTAAAAAGTAAGTATTTTAATTTGTATCCAATAATATTTGTAAGCTACAACCCAGTAAGCCAATTTAAGGTAGTCGAGTGGGTTGATAAATTCTTAAACAGTAATAAGTAATATTAATTTCTTGATACAATCGACTATTACTATATACTTTATTTATTTATTTATTTATACTTCATTGCCATAATACACATAATTATACATATAGAAAAAAAAACAAAAAGTAAGTAGGTTAAAAAATTCCGGTCCCTGGATAACACACGATAAATTAAATCAATTCTCACCCTTACCCTTAGGTAATTTGAAGTCGAAGGATTGTTCGCCAACATGAGATAATTTGAAGTCCGGGTTTCCCTTTTCTCTATAATTTGAAGTGTTTATCATGCACAAAACCTATCGTTGTAGTTCTATGATTAACCATTACTGTAATGTATAATATACATTTATATACTGATTCGTAATATGGAAAAAAGATAACGACAAGCATGGACGATGAAGTCAGCACCATATATTTAGACTATACTAATGACCAGAGTAATTTTTGTTAAAAGTATGAGAATTATTATCTAACATCTTTTCACGTTTTTGCTCCTGTTATTACCTATTGACTGATAAATTTCGTTTTAGCCTTTATTTGCAATTCAGTAGATGTCAATGAATTACAGATTAAATTTCTTGAACTACGTTATTTAAAATGTACAAGACTGAATATATTTCACAAATAAAATAATGAATGGTAAATTCTCTAATTTCAGTAGTGCGGTTGAGGTGATCTCGTCACCATGGGGAAGCTATTGTCGAAGATCTTCGGCAACAAGGAGATGAGGATATTGATGCTGGGACTTGACGCAGCGGGGAAGACTAGTATCCTTTATTAATTAAAATACTGGGGATACGCCCTTTTATTGTGCGTAACGAAGTACAATGCGGACAAATAGTACCTCATTTGTCAATGTTGTTTCTTGACTTGCATTGGTCTGTTATAAACCAGCTGATGTATTCTTTGCGCGCGGATAAAGTATTAAAAATAAGCAATACTTTTATAGTAGTAATGTATTGTTAAAGGAATACTTTTATAGTTACTTAATTAACCCGTGACCCAGTTTTAAAATTCGTTTGTGGCACTCGCGTAAATAAATTAAACATTTATGTGTAGACTACCGAACCCAACATACAGTAGTCCAACAGTCAGTAGTCCTGTATACACGTCTTAAATAAACAATTCTCCAATTAACTTTCAAACAAAAGTTTCATCTAAATCGGTCCACAGGAAGTTGCAAACAAACGCAAAAGATTATATCTTAATATATATAAATTACGCGTCACGTTGTTTGTGACTCCTAAACTACTTAACCGATTTCGATCAAATTTGCACACCAAGTGCAGTTTGATCTAATTTAAAAGATAGGATAGCTTACATATATATATAATTCTACTGTACGTGTGTATGTCACTGAACTCCTCTTAAACGGCTGGACCTATTTGTTGATTTTTTGTATGCGTTTGGGTGGAGCCCTGTATGGATTAGATTCACAAATCAGCCCGGCAAATGGCGCTGCAGTCGGTACTTTCATACTTTGTTTAATATCCTAATCGCTTGATATATCAAGCAGGACAACGTCTCTGGGGTCCGCTACTATTACTATATATAAAGATTGTCTGTAGCTATTGATATGTTCAATTATTTATTCCTTAACATGTTGGAACAGCTATTTTATATAAATTAAAATTAGGTCAGTCAGTGACAACGATACCAACGGTCGGTTTCAATGTAGAAACTGTCACGTATAAGAACGTTAAATTCAACGTTTGGGATGTTGGGGGGCAGGACAAGATTCGACCACTCTGGAGGCATTATTACACAGGTGGGTATTCACCAGCCAACATATTGTAAATATTATTAAATGGTAGATACTTTATAATATATGTATTTATAATGTCCAGTAGAGGGCGTCAATAACAAAATTTCCAGCCCCGAAAGCGGGTAATAAAATGCTGGCTGAATTATTTATGCCCGGACAATTTCCCTATCGAAAATATCAATTAATAATAATTAATTACATAATGGCTATTTGACAAGATTTTAAAAACCATTTCAGCTTCATTTGTTAGGGAACTAGAACCCTACACAAATTGCTACTTTTGTTTTGTTAAGTATTTATTGCCTTTAAAAATAAAATATTTTTAATTTCAAGGTTAAATACTAATAATAATAATTTTTATTAATCAAAATAAGGCAAGATGGTTCTCTAGGCAAGATAGAGTCGTACCATGATTGTAAACACGTCAACAAACGTCAGGATTTACGTGTTTATTTTTTCTTTCATTCATAAATTACACAAATACACATATATAATATTTCGATACAAAACCATTCTCCGACGAAATTAAAATCCAAGACAGTATTAAGATTAAACAGGCGAAGACATGTAATTTACAAGCACGCTGTCTTCGTCGTTATAATAGATTCTTACTGTTTTTGTGTCACGTGACTAACGTATAATAATCAATACTTTTATTTAAGGCTTTTGATAATAATGATTATTTATAAATTTTTACTCCATAACGCTTTTTATAATCCTTTATTTTAGACAAGAAAAGCCCATTAACTGTCATATTTAGAAATGTTATTCTTATCTGTTTTATGTAGAAATAACAAACAAACTTGTAAACTATTAGTTTCAAAGGGAATAGGTTATCTTTATTTTCATATAGAACTTGGATGTTGAAGATAAAATAGTTTAGATGTTTCTGAATAAATTGATGTAATGTTTCAGGTACACAAGGTCTGATATTCGTAGTGGACTGTGCGGACAGGGACCGTATAGATGAGGCGCGGCAGGAACTGCACCGTATTATCAATGACAGGGAGATGAGGGATGCCATTATACTCATATTCGCCAACAAACAGGACTTGCCTGATGGTTAGTAACTTATACATTAAGTACTAATTCTATTTTACACAAATTTCTGTAAATTTGTCTAAGTTTATATGAGGGGTTGACAGCCCTAAATTCCATCAATTGTGTAGGATAGTTAATTTGACAATTGTTTGAGATAATCAACTTAAATATATTAATTTATTACATTGCTGCAGATAAATTTTCCAGTTTAATAGCTAGATGGATATAATAATATTATAATTTTGTCTCCTAACCTACAAAGTAATAGGTAATATAAATAATTAAAAAATAAAATGAAAATCAAAACAAATTTAAACAGTTTGGTCCCTGTGGCAGTGTACCTTTAACGCTGGCAGCATTTCCTCGCTGTATTGCGATACTTATTGTTTGAGATTAAATTTTTTAATAATGTTTTTTAATATTGTCTTTGATTAACATAACTTTTATTCATTTAATAAAACACTATTTTGACCGGATTAAAGTTATGTATTATTATAAATTTACAACTATTGTGGTCACCGTGACCACGCACGCTGTAAAGCACGCGAAACGTCGGATAAATTTAAAATTATGTTAAATAGTTGTAAATTTATAATAATACATAACTATAATCCGGTCAAAATAGTGTTTTATTAAATGTTTTTTAAGTCCAATTTTTGCACATCCGTGATTTGAACGACCTCAGGGTTGAGAGTCGCACGTTCAAGCCGTCAGGCCAAAACTGACTTGTCTACGGTTGACGGGTAAAATAATTTATGTTTATATGTGTGAAGTGGCCCGATCATAGAATTGATCGCTTCAAATAAGAGATACAGATTGAGTCTAAATTTATGATTTGGTATAGTTTTTATGAATAATATTAAATTATATAATTCCAGCAATGAAACCCCACGAGATCCAAGAGAAGCTAGGCCTGACGCGAATCCGCGATCGCAACTGGTACGTGCAGCCTTCGTGCGCCACTTCCGGGGACGGGCTCTACGAAGGACTCACGTGGCTCACCAGCAACCACAAGTTATGAGCTGCAGAGTAGGCGGCCCGCCCGCCACGTACTGCGGTCAGTGCCTTTTTACCAGACCCAGGGGTTTTTTTTTACTTGGGGAAATGCATTGCGCATACCCTACCGCGGTGCGACTACTTAGTGCGGAAGGGTTTTGTGGGACTCGCGATTGTGCATAACCACTAAAACTCGAAGGCGCCACCAACAATCGTCTAAGAAAGATACTTGACACAGCAAGTATCTCTCACAGACCGGGCCATACGCTTTCAGAAATAGCTAGGGGAGATCGGGTCCAGTGCTTGCTGGGATGGAACACCATCCCTTCTTTTGAACGCATGGACCCCTGCTTCTCCGCTTGGGCACTTTTTAGGTGGCGATTATTTGACCGGCCTGCGGCTTCTTTCGCCGTCGCGGATAGGTTTCGGAACAAACAAAAACTAAATTTGTATGAAAACGACAGTTCGTGTAGACAAATTTAGTTTTCGTCTTTCTACATACACTACTGTTAAAGCATGTTGAGCTATAAATAATGGGGGGGGGGGGTAAGGGGAGAAAAAAAAAAAAAAAAAAAAAAAAAAAACCTCAATTATGCAATGAACCAATGAATTAATGTTGACCTGAACAATTTATAGTACTTTAAACATGAACACAGCATTATTCTATTCTGCTGAAATCTTACACAAGTGGTTTCAAAAAAAAATCTAAAACAGATATAAATGCAATTTTCTTTATACAATTTGCCCTAAAGTAAATAATTTAAAGACAGATATAAATCCAACGAATTAATTTTAAAGCCGTTCACGATTATTAACCTATTTTTATTTCTCTAAATCGCTTATCAATTGTTGCCTACACACAAACATTAGTTGTAAATAAATGTAGAATAGTTCTGTCTCTAGTGTGTATGTCGTTTCTGTATCTGTATTTAAATGTAATTCCATTTTTGATTGTCAGTAATTTTCAAGAATGTTTAATTTGTCCTATTTCAGGTGAGGATCGAGATGCCATTTAATTGTAAGTAAGCGGCGCACCGTTGGTAATATTGTGAACCAGTGTATGAACTATCGCGCAAGTGAAGTAATTACTTTCAAGAGGACTTTTCAAATGCTTTACACTGAAACGTTACTTTTTATACTAAGTAGATACAAATAAACTAAAATTTTGACGCCATATGATCGCTGTTAATAGATAATGTAGGTTTTAAATACGCATTGCATAACATTTTTCTTAAATTTATTTATAACTTTAGTGAAATGTTTTTATTGTCATTAGTGTCAATTAATTCTTGGTAATATCAGAGTTATCGGAGCCTGATAGTCGAAACCATGTAAGATTACCATCGCAGGCGGGTTTTACTGTATTTTAAGAAGCAACGTTTCAGTATTAAGCCTTTAGTTAGTAAACGTGAACTGTTTGTCACACAAAAATCAATTATTCCATTATTTAAAGAGAGTAAGAGCTTTGTTGTAACGACATTTGATTATTTTTTTTATTTAAACGGTGATTACATAGAGTAAAAGTGTTTTTTTTACCTCCTTTGTATAGGTATGTATTAACACTAGTGTAATGAAGCGATTTGAGGGTATTTTAATATGAGAGCACGCTCTGGTATGTACAGTGGGTTTGTCTAAATTATGGTGTATACAGTAGTTAACTCAGGCCAATTATTTTTGTGGGTAACATTTCCCAACAGTTTAATGTAGGGTCAACCGCATATATGTTTAATATTTCTCAGCATTATAAAACATGAACTGATGTGTTTCGTTACCATGGTTACCATTTTTATCAAGAAATTGTTAACCATAGTAACAAACACTCTTTGTCCACACTTTATAATAATCACCATGGCTTATAGCATGTTGACCGTAATTTTCTCAGAACTTTCACTCGAATTCTATTCCACCCTAAACACAAACAGTGGGTGCAATTCTAGTTATAAAACACTATAAGTTTTGTATGGAAAACTTAGCAGCGCTCCATGGGCGGAATGAAATAAATTTAGTTCTATTATATCTTCGCGTAATAATTGTTAACTATTCTGTTCAGAAAGAGAACCGACCAGCTATTTCATCATAATATAATTCTTATTTCAATTATTCACAAAAAAAATCTTTTATTTTTTCATATCAAGATGAAAGATCTATATTCTGTACACATTGTAACGTAAGTGTTGTCAAAGAAAAAAAATAAGCACAGCTGCGACCTCTTTCTGCACAGACTACTAATGTATAGAAATAGTGTTGCCAGAAACTATGTCGAGTACATGATGCAAATCTTGAAAAGCTGTGCTAAGGGTATTGAAGACAGAAAAAAATATTCTACATTTCCCAAACTTGCCTCGTATGTTTCGCAGTATCATAAGTTTAAAATAAAAAGTACGCTTAAAGAGGTTAATACTTTATTACGCTAGTACATTAGCATCAATAAAAATAATGTGTTAATATGTAAATTGATATTTATTGACAACTTCAACGGCCTCAGGTTTTAAAGTAGCGTTATTTGAATTTTTAAGAGTTAAGTAATTTCGTCCCTATCACTACGTCATAGCACTGCTTTAAAGCCGAACGCCGCCATCTTGGTCACAAACCAGTCCGTTAGTCGAGATGTGAATGGATATTGACTTAACCATGACATTTCTCATCTTGTAGATTCTTAATTATTTTAACGCTTCGTGTGTTTAGAGTATGGGACCAGAGTATTCCGCGAATTTAAATATGAGTTTTCTACAAGGTATTGTGAAAATGGCTTACTTTTTACACTACTCATTTTTAAATTCGCAAATTTGTTACAAATTCTTTACAGCCATTATTTGTTACATTTATTTTTAAGGATTTCTATTTTTTTAATAATTTTTTGTTACAATTTTATAACCCTTTAAATTAAGTATGTAGGAACATCGAATGGCGTGATTTCGCGGTATATTTTTAGTATATATCGCGAAACGCTTAACCATGTTTCATTTTTCTGTAAATATTAAGTTCATGAAAACGTACAATTAACTGTTCCTGAAAATAAAAATCTGTCTAAAATTGCAGAGGTTTGAAAATGTACTTTAATGCTCTTTTGCTTACGTTTTTATGAGCTTGCGATGATAGTAAATTTAGTTTGATTCTAGACAATTCAAAAGTGTAATTTAAAGTCTAGCACGTCATGAAAAATTATGTTTTTCACTTCAACGATGTAACGGTTGTAATTGAGTTACACTACTGTATAAATATTGTAGAAAAGTTATTCAAATATAAACTTACACTCAAATCATCTTTTATTCCTTCAAAAAAGGGTCAGAAATCATCCAATCCAGGTACATAAATAATTTGGCTAAGGTTTTTCGAGACTTTCGAATGAATTTGTCAAATTTGAAACGTAATTTTAAGCTCATGTAAGCTTAAGTTAATGTTCAGAGGCTGTAATGCTAGATTCTGCTGTGATGTCATCACATCTTGGAGGCAAGATGATCTGGAGTTCTTCGTTCAATTGAATCTCATCTTCTGGGAGAGTGTCTTCGGCAACTGTGGTATCGTAGTATTCGCTGGTACATGCAGCTCTGAATATTAATACGTTTTAAAGTATAATTAGGACAAAAAACCATTTAACTTATATAGTGTGGGTTCTTCAGGCCTGCGCTCTGACTATTACGCGACCCGATAAGATCTGACAAGCCTTTGAGACTGACAGAGCAAAAAAATCGAGAGATTTAATTACTACAATAATTATTAAAAGCTGAAAAAAGTACCGACCGGTCTTATATATAATAATAGGTATAGCTGTAGAATATGTATCATTGGTATCTTATCTTTGAATGTAAAATGTTTCAAGCAACGTTAGGGGCCATAGGCGAAAATACTTAGCCAAAACCAGAAATCGTTAGTAGAATTTGTATGTAAAAGTATGTATGACAAATAGTTTGTCGTTCAAAAGATCGAGATCCGCGGCACACCTGATACAAATATAAAGACCGCTGGTAAAGTACTCACTCTGCCTGGTCCCCAGCCGTGCCTCCCGCAAGTACAGAGGTATACAGTCGAGCTCTAGCCCCATGCAGTCTCATACCGGCTGGTACGTCTTCAGCACCTGACCTTGTCTCCGGTATTGGACGTAGGGCGGTAGCTGGCAATACGTGTTAATAGAAGTTAAATTTTTTACATATTTCACATTTTTCGTTTGTTTTCTTTTGCAGGGCAGTCGGATTTTATTTTGACACTATTTTTTTAATAAAAAGATGTGTGGACAATTCTAAGAATATAACTTTGTTAGGATTCTGTAGACATTATGACATGACTGTTTCTATGTGAAGTAAAACATAGTACGAGCTAATTACCATCGTCCTTATCTCTCATATCTTTGAATACATTTTCTGCCGGCGCTAAACTCCTTACGCTGTCACGGTCTTTTCGGTCTAAACGTATAAAATATATAAGTTAATTTATATATTATGTTCTTACAAGTAGATCAGTCTAATGCGTTTTCCAGTGCGAAATAATTCTTGTAAATTCAATAGAGAATGCTTTAATTGGCAGAGAACCGACTCATGGGAGCAGTAAAACCTCATAATCTGATAAAAACATTAATTTAAATAATATGCTTGTAATTCTTTCATTAATGAACATATCACTTTGAAATTGATACTTATCATTTTTCTATTCATATCACATTTAACAAGGTTTAGATTGACCGCAAGCGTGTTGTAGGATACTGATATCGAGGTTCAAACGGTTTAAAAATATATGAAGCACCATATTAATTACATTATACTGGAAAAACAGACGAACCAAATATCATTATTATCATAAATTATCAAATTACCACCTTTTGGATTGAAAAGGTGTATTTGTAGGTTGAATTTACAGTGAACTCCCGTCACATCCCACACTGTTGAAAGCGGTGCTCGTTACTTATCTATTACGTCGTGTGAAAAATATCAATTCAACAGACCAAATGTATCTGTTCCATGTATCGATTCAAATATTTTTGCCTGGTAGCTGGCATATGGCTTAGAAAAATGTTGCCTTATTAAACTTTAGTTACTGCATTTAGGAGTAGCTCTGAGATGAAATTCGGCATAACCACGAAACAGTGTTTCTAGATCGTCGGGGGCCATTCGTCGAAGATATGGGACTCGCTTGAGGTCAGGGCGATGGAGACATCGGAACGAATTTCGGTGCTGAAAGAAAAAAATATTTGAGATATATAATATTTCTTATAAGAACAAAAATAGTGAAATTGAACGGTGAAATATGAAATGCAAAAATTATTGAACAACTATCCCATTGCAAAAAATTATACTGAAAATTGGTTCGTGACACTGCTCGCATGAACAGTGACAGATGGACAATCAATAGAATAAGGTGGAAAGGCCCACCAGGGAAAAGAAAGTGAGCTCACGAGCATAAGAAGTTGATTGGAAAGATTAGATAGAAAAAGTTCAAGTTAGAGTACTTTACTCTTTAAAAAGTTTCTTGAAAATATAGCTAGTTTTGTATACGAGTACAAGTAGCTAGGCTTGACAATTACTACATAGACTAATTAATACTTTGAACAATTGTTTAGTGTCAAACACACGATAAATCTCGACTCTGAATATGGATATATTATAAGATGAAGATTGAATATAATATGGTGCCTAAGTACCGCTTCGCAGCGACATGAAATACATATCAGTAGGGAAATCAAGGAATAAGGGTGAGGTTACTTGCGTTTTAAATCAACGAATTTATTTATTAAATAACAGGAGAAATAGGCCGATTTCGTCATGTATAAACATACCTTAACGAGTCCTGGTGGTAATTGCATTCGTTCACATGCGCAAGACATGGACATACAATGGATGACGCTGTCATGTTTCACTGAAATCGCTGATAGGCCACTTCGGACTATTTCTTCGTTTATCTGTTTCAATAACAAAAGAAATTCTATAGGAATAGCTAGATTCATTTATAAATCTTTTAATAAAATGAAGTAGTAACTATGTCAATGTTGGTGTTTATATCTTTACCGATCATTTAGAATTCAATAACACTAAGATCTATTTCATTTCTTCACTCTTGAAAACACACCAGAAAATAATATAATTGCGTTTAGAAACCATTCATCATTCTTTTCACTAAGCGAGACAAATTGCTTTCTTTTCAATAGCGTCCCCCCAAGCCTTTAAAAGCCTATATTTATCTTCAGCATCCATTAATTAGTCGGGAATGTATTTAAACCAGACATTTCGAGATGTCAAAGAAAATAATTAAGGCAAATCGATATACTAAGATATATTTATTACATAATATTGCGAATGTCCCATAAGTTCTTTTCTTTAAACGTGACTAACAATTTTAAACGTTTATACGTTCCTTGCAAACAAGACATTTTGTTTAGAAAGTGGAAAGTAATTAGATACATTATCCAAGTTACTTTAAGGCCTGTATTCACTTTGATTAGTGATTAGTGCAGGTGATTAGTGATTAGGAGAAAACAAGTGTGGACAGCGACTGATTAGTGCTGCGTAGTAACGTGATTATAGAAGCGAACTAATAGTAGCCACGTCCCGTGCGCCCTCCTTCCCACTCACCCGCAGCGTGCCGGCCAAAACACGTCTGGACAGGCAGCAGGACTCTTCGGTCAACCTGAGAGCAAAGTAATATTCCGTCGTATCTTCAGCAGCCAATTCCTTATAGATTTGGATTAATAGGTCTTCTTATTAATCCATTTTCGAACCGATACTTTTATTGGTGTTGGAAGTTGAGCTTCCAAAACTTCTTCGGTTTCAGATAGCACCACTTTAAAACTTCTTTCAGTACTTCTTCCAATTGCAAGCGCTTCTCGATGTTCGTCCAAACTTGCTGATCGACAGCTATCGACAACTGAATTTACTTAACTGAGCCACTAAACAAGGATTGGACACTACTTGCACTACACACCTGCACATCCTCTTCATCATCAATCATCCTCAATTACTAATCACTTGCACTCGCACTAATCAAAGTGAATACAGGCCTTTAGGGATAGTAGAAGTGTTTTATAATTGGTAAAACTTGGAATGTTTAGTTTATGGCACGTCTAAATGGGCCATGTTTTGCTGCAATTGATGGCTGCACTGTTGGCCACTAATTGCCCGGCCATTACAAAAATATTTTAATGCAGCTGATGGCCGAACAATCTATGGCTGGGCAATGTGTTGCAATATGTCTACAATAGTATGGCCCATGATGCAGACTCCTAAACGGGCAACACAAACCGGCAACAATGGCTGACGAAATCACACTTATCGCAGCAGCTTATATTGTTTTAAAAAAGAAACAGAAAAAGGAGAGATTGTGGATTCGACCTTACTTAAATAGGCGTGAAACTGTAGACAATTTGAGTCTAGAAATATGCCTTGATAATAAATTATTCAAGAACTTTACTAAAATGTCAAAAGCAGTCATTTTAAGTAGTAACCTAATGGCGCGTCTAAACGGGCCATGTTTTGCTGCAATTGATGGCTGCAACACTGTGGCCGGCAACATTGCAAACAATAGCAGCCACACTATGCAATATTGCAGTAATGTCCCGGCCATATAGCCAAACATGTTTTGTATAGCCACATATGGCCGATGTTGCCCTGATGGGTGGCCGGACGATCGCTAGGCTATCGAATTCAACTGCAATATTGCACAGCCAGTTCTATTGTTGTTTCAGTCACTCTCTTTGTTATGGCATAGTGTATCCTTTTCTACGCGACATGACGTTTGCTTTGAGTGAAGTGTGCCTGTTGCTTTATTCTGTGTTTTGCCACAGTGTTGCAGCCATCAATTGCAGCAAAACATGGCCCGTTTAGAAGCGCCATTATATATATACTTATCAAAATGTAGGATACGACTCGTTTTATATTATGTACATATACAATCAATCTTTCTCGGAATAACCATCCATTATTATTATTACTAAACATATACTTATGTTTTAAACTCTATAAAGTAGTGTTTTGATTCCAAACCCAGTTTTAGTGTAAGATTCAGATTCGAGACTTATGGAGCATGATATCAAATTCAATACGCTTTTGATAAATTTAGTTATACTCCGCTCTGTTTCTCGACTTTGAATCGTATATTTATATAATTAAGTCATATTTTAGCATAAATACATATTTCTACCAACACTTAGCAAAAGTAACCCTTTGCGTTTGGCAGATGTTAAACCCATATCAACATCTTGCCACGTTTATTTTAATACTAGGTATTATAAGAATTTACCCTTTAATAGCTGTCGTGATTATATTTAAAATTTCGTTTTTATCTTTAGAATACGATGTATTGACGACTCATTGGTCTAGTGGTTAGTACCCCTGACTGCAAATTCCTGGATCGATCCCCGGCTGAGACAAACATCGATGTAATGAGCATTTGGTGTTGTGCTTAGGTCTTGGGTGTTTAAATATGTATTTATATGTCTATCTATCTATGTATGTATATCCGTTGCCTAGTACCCATAACACACGCTTCGCCAGCTTAGCATGGGACTAGGTCAATTGGTGTGAAAAAAAAAATATACAAATTGCACTCTTTAGCAACAATTTCAATATTATATAGACAGTGTATGAGAGACGTTGTTTATAATCGAACTAGAACGGTAAGGTAATATTGATATAAAAAAAAATATTACTTGTAGTTCTCTCCCCTCACAGCAAGGTACGATAGGTGGTAATTCTTCCTTCTTCTGTACAAGGTCTACGGCCATGTTGTCTCCGCTAGCAACGGGATTCATCAGTAGAAGAGATGCGTTGGACGATTTTTTCTCTTTCACCTCGATGTGGGAGCAAGCGCTTCGAATGTCAACGCTTAAAGAAGATAGGTATCTTGCAGATGTTACACATAGTAAGTCAAATAATGATGTATATATACATCGGCATATTTATATATTTGTTTGCGAAGTAGAACTTGCTAGAACGGTTAAGGAATAGACATGTCTTAATTAAACACAAAACGACGGCGTTCATAAACTGTTCTATAGCTTTATGTGTCTGACAAGCACACCTTTTCACCTACAGAAATCTGAGACTGAGACCTAAAAAGTTGAACTGGTACTAGTTAATTTTAGATAAAATATTGCAAGAGCATTTCGTGTTGACATGCATTGCAATGTTCCTCATACATTGAAATTTCAGGATAATAACACAAATTTACCTGTTCATATTGAGATCACGCAGAAAAACGTTTGGAGAGTGCTGGTGCAGTAGTTGCATTATAGAAAATTAAAGGGCCGGTTTGGAGTGTTTCTTGTAAAATCTGTCTACATTTTTTTACAGAAATTTCAACACTGGCATGACACGAGCGTTGAGTTTCCGTTTTTAAATATATTTTTTTAATTTTTGACTTGACTATGGCTAATATGGTTTATGATCATAAGAAACTATTTTTGCTGTATAACATTTTTCGACTTTCGTATTCGCCTTGCTCTTGCAATGCAGATATTTGATCAAATCAGTTTAAAAATATATATGAATACGTACCTAAAAATAAATAATATAAAAAAAATGTTCGCCCATACTTCAGCCACATTTAGAGGTTTTGTGTGAATTCAAATATCTCTGATGTGCTAAGTAGCACAGTTGATTTATTTTTTAGTATTGGAGAACCGATGATTTATCTGTGTTTTTGTTTTTGTTGTTGTTAGATTGTTTTATTTTTTAAATTAAATGCAGGGTTGCATTAGTAACTTAATTAATATTGTTTTAGTTTAAGTGAGTTTTACACATTTAAACTGCAATGTATGTATCGATAAAAGCGCGAAATCGTTACAGCATTTAAATAGTTCGACGTTTTGATTGCTTTTCAGCAGCCGTTAGCGAAAGATGTCACTTTCTTCTAAAATTACAATCGCAGTACGTGAAACTATGTATATATTCTATCCTGACGTAATTCGGAAATTTATGAAATGTTTTACAAGCAAGTGGGTATTCACTTTGAGTAAAAAGACAAAAGAAAATGTATGAAGCCTTTCGCTATCACGTAGAGGCACTTCATGCTTCGAGTGCCCTCTCCAAAATGTGCACTTAGCTGTTCATTTCTAAAGAAAGTAATACATTTTATCCTGTACTTTTCATTAATATTTACAGATACTTGGTGATAGGGCATTTTGCACTTGATGCTTTTAAAATACTTATGGCAAGGCTAAAGCTAAAACAAAAAACAACACCAATTTGAGGAGTAATTTTAATAGAAAAAAATCGAATATCAAAGACTATCGAAAACAATCAAAGCATCGTACAATATTTTTTAACATTTCTTTTGTCATGCGCTACATGGGCTATCTACTTTTTCAGGAACATAAAAATCTTTCTTTTCCTCTTCACACGAGACATTGCTTAGTTTCTGAAAAGGCAAAATGTGAATTAAATAAAAGAGTACATCAAAACAAATGAAATACTTATATACTTTATCTTCACTCGTTTTTTTTTGCTAATGACCAAATTTTTAATGGATTGGCTTTTAAAATCATCTGCGTTTATGTGTGTGGTTGAAAATATTTATATTATTTATCTAGTTTTGCTGTGAACGCTTTATTGTACATTTAAAAAATCCGTGAAGATCGGCTAGAGCTATTTTGAAAAGTTCGTTCGAACAAATAAGGGCTGTGAATCAATACAGAAGTAAAACGCATGCGGCTTGATTAATTTACTTTAACAATACTTACATTTTGCAAATGTGTTATGCAATGGTACACACCGTCGAGGCAGTAATATATAATAATATAAGATTAAACAAAGGCCCCTCCTACTATTTATCTATTCCCTTGCCAGCCTACTAGTTAGCAGATCTCACATATCTTAGAGGTAGCAAACCAGCATGAATAGTGTCCAAATAAATTGCCCTGTGTCATATTATGCGATAAAAGTCTTCAATTTTTTTCGCATGTAGTATACGCGAACTCTCGCAATATCTGGCCAATATACGGCTGAGATGAATACTTTTATTTCAAAAAACTTTACACATACCCTTCTTTGTTTTTCTTGCTTCATATCCACAAGTAGTGAGCTTAGTATGCGTCTCGCTAAATACCCACTGGCACGACGCACATCTGCGCAGTCTCCATGTACTCTGTTGTTTACTACAGCATCTGCAAGACCTTCCACAGCCTCCCCCCATTCAACTAAAAGATTTTTTAAATTAATACAATATTTATTTTAACTTATATATCTAATAATAGAAAAAATTATACTTAAATTACGTAATTCTATTGTTGAAAAATTCCAATGGATCGTAGGACAATATCGAAGACCTTAAAATAAAATACAACAGATTTTCGAATCTGTTTCAGAGATTACTTTCTAGAAAATTGGTGATGAACCTTTTGTCATGTCAATGATTTTTGTGTTATAGAAATACAAACATGGTGTACAGGTGAGGTATGAACGCACGACCTTACTGTTAAAGAATACGCTATTGACAGTATGAAAAAAGTTTTATTGAGAGTAATCTTTAAAAAATACTAGCGACCGGACAGACTTTGTCCTGCATGATATTTCAAGCGATTAGGATATTAAACAAAGTATGAAAGTACCGACTGCAGCGCCATCTGCCGAGTTAATTTATGAATCTAAACCATCCAGGGCTCCAAACGCACCCAAACGCACACAAAAAAACATTCAAATCGGACCAGCTGTTAAGAGCAGTTCGTACAGTAGAATTATATATATATGTAAGCTATCCTATCTTTTAAGTTAGACCAAACTGCACACGGTGTGCAAATTTGATTGAAATCGGTTAAGTAGTTTAGGAGTCCATAGCGGACAAACAACGTGACGCGTAATTTATAATATATATTAAGATAGTTTTAAAAAGCGTTATGAAGTTAAATAATTAAAAATATTGATTTTTATACGACACGTGACACAAGAGTCACAGATTAGTCGAACGGCGAAGACATAGCGTGCTTGTAAATGATACGTCATCGCCTGTCTAATCCTAATGCTGCCTTGGAATTTAATTTCCTCGGAGACTGCTTTTTATCGAAATTTAATAAATACATGTGTAAAGAAAAAACTTTTTACCGGATTAAAGTTATGTATTATTATAAATTTACAATTATTTAACATAATTTTAAATTTATCCGACGTTTCGCGTGCTTTCCAGCGTGCATAACTTTAATGCGGTAAAAAGTTTTTTCTTTAAATGTGTAAAGGTTATGTCAATCAAAGACAATACTAAATACATGACGTGTTTTAGTTATTTACGAATGATGAATGATTATCACGTGAAAAACGGGACTGGCGCGTCACCATCTTGCCTAGAGAAGTATGGTGGTATAGTGATTATTGAATAGCACTAATAATAAGCCTATTGCTTTAGTTTGAGCGTGCGATTCTAGCATAACACTGTATAAAAGACATTCAGTTGTTAGTTTGAGGACCCTCCCTTTAGGTTGGACGAAGAACGCTACATCCACCACGGCCTATCTAAAAGCTATTCCGTTTCCAAGCAAACGGAATCACGCGGGATATTACTATATATCGTCATTGTAGAATGATAACCTCGTATGTCAAAAAACCATTTATTTTTTCTTAAGTCACTCTTAAGTCATTTAACAGGTATAATCATGAAGTAAGGACTTATTTATGTCATTAATAAATAAGTCCTTTTTACCATCTAAAACTATGGACAAAAACCCAATAATATTTTATTTTAATAGACAAAATGAAACATTTTTTTCGTTTCCTGTAATGTTTGGTTCTCTGGACATACGAGGTTATCATTCTTCAGCGACGATATGGAGATTGAGGTTCATCTCGGTGAGCGGTCTGTTTATGTTCATGACATTAACATTTTGAATTATACATTATAAACGTACCTTTCGATTTTACAAGCTAGAACTTTCTAGAATAGTATGTCCAACGAAATTTGTCAGACATCGTTTAAGAAGCCAAACATACGTACTGGGATGTCTCATATGCGGTAGCGTAACTGTCCCTATGGTGACATCCATTCCTTTTTCCACTGTCTGGCTCACTGAACGAGACAGTAACTTAGCTGCTGCGTTCACCATCTAGAAATCATGGTAAAATAGAAATAAACTTACGGCTCTATTAAATATCCGTCATATTGCAAAAGTTCTTTTTTGTTTCTTATTTTTTGTAGTTACGCTACGATGAAGAGACATTGTTTAAATGGTTAAAAAAATTATGATTATATTGACACTTTAATTACAGTGTAAATTAAATTTGAGAGGAGCAGTCTCGATGGAGATTTTGCTCTGAACGCCTAACAGCTTCCAACACATCTGCTCATAGTCTAACTGACTGATTGCATGATAAAGACTTAAAAAAAAAAAAAAATATTGACACTTTAATTACAGTGTAAATTAAAAATGTAACAATACAGCTAAAAAAAGTATAGATTACTTTACACTTGTGCTTACATACAATTCGTAGCCATAGCATATATTTGGTAAAGTACATATTACTTGCGTTAAATAGCACGAACGTACCTCTAGCAACTTATTTCTCTCGGGGAGATAAGATCCAACGGCCACTGGGTCGGGAAGATCTTCAACTCTGTCCGAGAACGTCACTTCAGCCAATTTTGTTTTAGACGGCTGTTATATTAAATATAATATTGTAATTGTAAAAAAAACAACATTTTATTTAAAAAAAATCGTAGTGCTTGTTTGAAAATTACTTAAAGGCATATTAATACTATATCGGGTTTTGTTTATTTAAAACTATCTCATAGATTTTAGTTATATTAAACCACATTCAATCCTTAAACGATTCAAATTCAAACTATGCGACGATACGTTATATAATTTTGTAAACTCGTAAGAAAACAATAACGTATAAATAAATTCATGACTTAGCGGGACTATTATTGCAAACTAATGCAGCATTCACATGTTACATGATAAATATCATACCACTGGTGTTGGAGGTCGATCCTTGACGCTCTTCATTTCAAAATCTGTTGTGGTTTCATTAGGTATATTGACCACAGAGCCAAAACCGATTCCGCCTTTCCCATGGATGAACTGCCGTGCAAGTTCCGTCGCCACGTGTATTGACCAACGAGACACTTTGCTACGCCTGAAACATGTTAACGGAATGATCGGTTTCCTTTAGAAGTCTTACAAAAAACAAAGAAAATTTACCTCATCTGAAATCTGGGAATGTTTTTGTCGTTGAATCTTAGGCTAAGATTACTGATATTTATGAATGTAGTGCTCTGTTATACCTACATGTGATTTTACTGATATATAGAGATAGAGAGATATATAGAACCGATGCATGGGATAATGTTTCATTTACTACCATACAATAAATAATAAATATTAAATATATGAGATAAGCTTATAATAACAGCGTATAGCTATCGCAATGTAACTTCCGGTGTTAGTTATCGTACTGTATTGTTCAAATTCCACAAATAGTTAAGATATCACTGATCCCTTATGCATTTCGGCTTTCCTTTGATTATAATAATAGTCGAGCTTACAATATAATAATTTATTTAAAGACGCGCCAACAAAGCCACGAAACAAACTAAAACTAACATGAAGACTCGATAGTAGATGCGGACGGCATACACAAACAAAACACGTATGATATATTCTTAACTAGCTAAAAAACTGCATACAAATCAAGATATGAACTGAAAAGTTTTAAATGTTGCCTATGGCCATCCTAAACTCGAATAGGCGGGCCAGAACATCCATGTGTCGTTGTTCAAGCCTTGCAACTTATTGCACATTCTTGCTATCCTGCTAAGAGTAGCGTAAAACCGTATGTTAAGATTCTATGACTTTTTTACTGCAGCTCTACTGTTACTGCTACTCTGTAACTTCCAAAAGCGACAGCGATCTCGATGTTTTTGTATGCAAGTTCGATGTAGTTCTCTCAATGTCCGTAGCGCTGAAGTTGCAACATAGGTATAGCGCTGAACAAAAATACATGATTGAAATGGGATTCCCGATGCTGTCAGTATCGCTATTGCAGACTAAGTGCTCTATTGGAAGTGAAAGAGTAGGTCCTCGGTTTGACTCATGACGAAAAATTTCTGGTAGATTATACGATCTTGTTTGCCTATGATAAGCTTAAGCTGACATATGAAATTGTCTGTTTTTTTTAATAAAGCAATCAATTCATCAAATTTTATTATTATTAAAGCAATATTAAATAAATACATTTTCAACTTTGTCATTTATTATCTTAATGAGTTTCGTGCATGCTAATATGGTATGAACGCTGTATTATATAACATTAAGTTAAATAGTGTACAACAATTTTAGAAGAACGTAACGTATTTTAATACCTGTAAGTTAACCCATATAAAATACTATTTAAATAAGTAAAGCCGAAACCTTGAGACCTTTGAAAATGTAATAGGGAATTAATTTTTCACATCCTATGAACGTCTAACCTTGATAATTTTATGCGACCTAAGGTGTTCAACATTAATAAAATAATCTAGCTTTACTTCAAGGTCTGACACGCTTTGGATACAAATCACAAAGACCTTGATAGGTTTAAATGTACCTAATAACGTTCATTAAGTGATATATTGTATTGAGACCAATTTAAATAATAATTAAAGTCTAATCAGTAATTTATGTGTTGTATAAAGTGTGGTAACATTTCAGTATTTTTAAATTTGTTCTGACGTTTATATTACTCCTGCCGAATGGCTGACCCAGTTCTGAATGAACGAATTGAAATTGAACCTTTGAACCTATGGGCAAAGTAATTAACATAGTTAAATCGAGTTATTAAAAATAAAGCAAACCTTTTCTTAGGTGCAGGTCTATAGTTTTGGAAGAAAATTACGGCGGCCCTGGACTTAACCATCCTTTCAATATCTCTGAGAAGTAAGTTGACGCGACGCCTGGCGAACTCCATCACGGCGCTTTCTAACATCTGGTGTATAAACATTGCCATAAATAATATATCATAAATCTCCAGAACAGGGCAACACCACGTACAAACTGCTAGGAAGATGCAAAAGGAGAATATTGACTGGGTAAAATAATAATTTCATGTGAAAATATAGTATTTATTTCTATTATAAGCAGCAAAGTTAAGGCTTAAGTATGAGTACTCTTAACCCTAAGGTTGAGCGTTCAAATCATATCTTCATTGCATGAGCAATTAACACTTTTTAATACGGTGAAGAAAACATCGCGATAAACCCACATAAGCCAGCCACTTCTTCCTTGTATCTCAACCCTTTTGTGTATCATTTTTTTATTAAGCTTATACGCTACATTTACTCTTAAAAAAAAACAATTGCGAACAAACAGAAGTACAAAAAAACCCCCACCCTAAAAATAGACAATATGGGTCACCTATTTTTCTATAAAATTAAAATGGATTATTATTATAATTAATATGCTGATTACCTCGTCAAGTATTCTAATAGGTGCTGGCGGAAGAACTGTCACCAAGTCCATCCAGGCCCTCGCCTGACCCAGTGTCATAAGACGATCGCCATCCGTACTAACGGCCGCGTTCATCGCTTCAGTCGCCAATTCTTGTGCAAGTTCCGGACTCATGCCTTTAGCCCCTCTCTTCGACTAAAAAGATTTAATACAATTATTGATTCAACATAAACTCAAACTCAAAATAACTTAATTCATATAGGTAAACAAGTACACTTATGAACGTCAGAAAAGAAGTTAAATTAATTGTAAATTTACATTTACTATCAGTTCGCAAGTCAAGGGCGTAGAGCGGGCAAGAAGAACTGGCAAGAAACTTTCCGCCACTCTTTTCAATTGCTTGTTTGAACTGGAGCAAATCAATCCCACGGATTAGGATCATTTAAATATTCGTCAAATTTATAAAAAGCTCTATTGGTTAATTTACGTTTTACGAGGGCTTTGAATTTATTTAGTGATTTTTGAAATAAAATATGTAGGAAAACATGCAAAAAATTACCTTTTCAAACTCCGCACCCATCTTGCGCACAAGGTTTGCAGCTTTAGCCGTTCCACCGTGCATCTGCTTCCAATTGGCGAGACGAATGCGAGCGAGCTCCAAGTCCGTGTTGAAAGCATATACCTCCGCCTTTCTGTAATTTCATACCACACGAACAATATTTGATCAATATTATCAAAACATATAGGTACTTAACACTGCAGCTGCTCGGGGAACTCAAGACTATCAAAAATTATCTAAATCTTACCTAACTCGTCTCATGGCGGCAGCATTCATATCCTCAGTATAAATTTTGAGAAGCAAAGCTTCTTCTTGTATTTTGAGGTTTTGTGCATTTACACGCATTTCCCACTTATTGTTCGCCTGAAATATTTATTTAAATTAATAAACATTAATTTGCATTGATGATTTAGAGCAGTGATTCCCAAAGTGGTCTATATCGACCCCTAGGGGTCTATGACAACCTGCAAGGGGTCTACGTCAGCGAAAAAAAATTTGGGGGTCCATGAAATGAAAATGGGTCCACGATAGTGAATCTCAACACATACACTTATAGTACCTATTTACTTACGTCATACTATCTTATAATATCAAAACATATACATTACAAACAAACAGACACAAAATTTTATTTTGAGTAGTTTTAATTTAAATTCAATTAATAAATGTATAAGTTAACATGTGATTTTACTTTAAGTTTTTAACACTAAACTTCACTACAGTTAGAAATTTACAGGAAATCAATATCAGGTAAGTAGGGGGTCTACCCAACACGGAAAAACATGGCAAGGGGTCTACGACACAAAAAAGTTTGGGGAACTCTGATTTAGAGGAACGAAGCATGAATCAACATAATCTAGGAAAATCAACAACCTACCTGATCATCCTGTTTCTTTTGTTTCTCATCTCGCTCTTGCTTAAGTCTATTCAATCGTTTCTTCTCATTTGCCCTCCACTGCCGAACCATCGTAATCTTTCTTCGGAGTTCCATCTCGGCAGCTGCTTGGACACGCTGCTTTATTCTGTTCTGCTTCTCTGCTGCACGCAAGGCGCGCTCTTGCCGTTGTTTTTTGTTGTATTCAGCCAAATAATTCATTCTAGCTTGAACTTTCTTTTCTTGTTCTTTTGCTCTAAAAAATTTAAAAAGAAGAACATCCTTATTCAACGCGGCCAAGACCAAGGTTTCATTACTTCAGAAATTAGAGCAAAGTTAAACTACTGCTTAACTTTGCTCTAATTTCACATTATACTTAACGTGAGCATTAAATCGTAATACTCAAGGCGAGAAACTAAAATACCTAGGCAGAAACTGAAACTCACGACTCTAGATGCACTCAGCTTGTTCCTTTTAATTAAAACATCTCGTTGCGCCCTTTGATTAATGTATATACAAACGAAATAAAAAAGAAACATTGTGAAGTCATTTTAATTGCAAGTACCTTTCCGATTAATTAACTTGAAAATACTAAACGAATTTCTGTTTTTGTTTTCAAGTACTTATATTATGTTTTTATAACATTCTGTTGGCGGGTATAATAACCATGCATAATTAATCCGATTTAAAAATTGCGCTTTTTACGAGGTATACCTAACTTTTTTAACGTATCAGTCAAAGAAAATACCATAATCTTGGTTTAAATTGGTCGACAGTAATGTAGGCCTAACATTTTATGTCTCTATCATAAAGTTCAGCGTTCGAATCACGGTGGAACATCGTGGAAATTATTTCATAGCATTTTTAAAAACTAATACCCGATGACAAATATCAGACTCAGAAGCATGATCTACTTGTCTATAGAAATGTTCTAAAAATCGATATACTGTTTCTATTAAAAGCAAAAGTTCTTAACAAGCAGCGATATTGGTACGCGACTAACACATTTCCATGTTTCTATGCAGCTAGAAGAGTGCTTCAACGACGCAACTAAATGGATTATGCAAATATGCTTTACTAAGTTTGCAATCTCGGCGAGATGTACTGAAGGGATAAACCAGTGAGGAAATTTGATTTATTTATTGTCTAGTTTAGAGCAATAAACAAAACCTCTCTTAAATGCAGCACTATGAGGTGATTAGTTTCATATTAATTAAAACAATTTGTGTTTCTCGTACTGAATAAAGGCTACGCAATACCAATTCTATTGAAGTAAAGTTTTGATAAAAATTCGACTGTAAGTATTGGTTCATTGAACCTAAAAATGTGTAAATACAAGGTAATAAGTTATGCAATGTCGGGTATAAATTAATGTCTCCACTTGCCGGTAAGTTGTAAACATCTGTCAACTGCTACTTTCTGGCCAAAGGCCAAAAAGGACAGTAACTTTACGTAATAAAAATATTAAAACCCTTTAAAGTTATAATTTCTTACTATTGATATTTTCTATATACTTGTACATATTATTTACTTTATGTCAGTATTAGATTATCTGTTACATGAGTAGTTATGATTTTGGTTAGGTATAATATGCCTATATTTTAAAAGTTAAGAATAAATAATTAATACATGAAGAAATATTGTTACAAAATTAACGAATGATTAAAACGAACTATACATTATATAATTCTTAAGTGACACAGTACAAAGTTAAAGGCTACAGACATGTAGCAGTCTACGACGTAGCATATCCATAAACTACTAAACAATTATGTTTATAATATATGGGCATAATGTTATTTATTCTGTGTTCGTTAGTCTGAGTTCTGATAACGTTCAGAAATTTGTTCCTTTGAACGCCATAACTATGTTAAACCTATTAAGCTCGGAGATCACAGGTCCCCTTGTCTTGTAATCCTTTTAATAGAGAATATTAATTGTAAAAGGTCTTTGCTGGACGCCTAATATATATTACCTTAATTTATTTCTGTGCTAGTTGGTGAAAGTTAAATTATGAAAAATATTTACATTTAAAAAATGTTTATACAATCTTTTGTATGCAGTACTACGACTATTTTACAATGTATTGTGCAAAATACTGTAATACAAATTAAACACGAGTGTTAGTGACACATTGAACAGTTTTCAAACTCATAGATACAGCTAGTCGTAATACAATTTTAAACAAATTTCTGCAATCACTGGACTAACAAGCTTTGCTCCTACGTGAGGATCTACCGGATTAATAGCTACAGTTTGTTTTCATTTTACGTCCACGCAATTAGTTTTAACCAAACCGGGTCGGGTTGTTTACTTTTACATAATTAAAATATAGCTTGGGGCGATAGGAAAATACTGTGTTCAAGTTTTACGTATAATTTCTGAACTTAAATAATGGTGGCTATATTTTAAAGTGTTTTTTAATTAAATACCTTTTTTATAGAACATGGAGTAAGCAGGCAGGACGCTTACCTGTGTAACTTAAACTCGCAAGATATAAATAATTGGTACCCTCTTTTCTTTAAGGACCTTTTCATTGAATTGCTTCAAAAACTTGCATGTATTTTTATTTATATTAGCTTTATAATTTTTTTAAGTGTATTTAAATATTTATGCTTTGAAATTAAAAATATAATTTGGGCTCGGTTTTTAATTTAAATCTGTTCATAAATGTACTTTAAACTTGAATTGGGTCAACAATGTTTGCGCAAGGGGAGGACAATATGGACAAAACATTAATTTGTTATCTATTAAACAAAAATTATATCGAGTAAGTATTTATTATCATGACAAAAATTCTAGATCAATATTTAATTTCAAAATTAATTCATGTTACCAAAACTATGTAAATATTGAAAGGGCAAACAAAACTACGATTAAATTCCGATTTATGCACAGATGTTGGAGAAACTCAGCTGGTACAAACATTTCATCACATTGATAACAACTTTAGTTTGATTTCATAAATTGACATGTGTCTAGCTGTTAACGTAATGTAGTCCTTATTGGATACGGCTTTACTGTAATCAATTATTAAGAGTAGAAATGTTGTATTAATCAAAGATTTTTATTAAATAGCAACTAATTGACATATTGACTGTCTGATTTTGGGCACTTTTGTACCACCAAACTTGATAGAAAATAGAATTAAAACGTACAAATAACAATATATTTGCATTCAGGGTAAAATTCATATTCAAAACTTAGCGAGAACTAGACTCCTGTATGTTTTTCATAGCGCTAATTTTCGACTCTTGATCTTAGCATAGCGCCCTTGATTTGAGAACTGGCACTATATGTAAAGTCAGAAGCATTTCATATACATTTCTTTTTTTGACGTCCATAAGTGTACATTGTGTTGTTACCTATATAATTTTTGACATTTGACATAAATGATGGTTTAGTTGGATGCGTGTTTTTTGACCATATTTTTAAGTATATTCGAGGATCTAAGTTGGAAATTTGAATTATATTATACTAACAAACGTTTCTTCTCTGCCCACTCGTCAGCGTGCTCTTGCGCCACTCTTTCCAAATGTTCCCGCGCTCGTTCTGCCTTCGTAAACACTTGCAGCCTTCTTGCCACATCTACTTCCACACGTTTCAGTGTTAAATCATCTTTAGCCCGTTCATCCTATAAGTTTTTAATCGTTATAAAAGCATGACTTGATTTCTTATCAGGATGTTTGTAACCTTCGATACGATTGTTATTCACGTGAATTTCGTGTTTATAAATTTTTAACAACTAATTTCGTAGTTTTTATTCAATCGTTTTATTAGAATGCCATTTACATTTTCGATAATTATTAAAAATCGGAAGCTAGTTTAACTATGACAAACCTTTTTTTGTATAAATAAAATTGAAGAATTGTGGTTACAATAATTTCACTTGTAAGGTACAAATGTAAGGCTTGCATTTGTCGTCATTTGATGGCAAGAAATACTAGATGTTATTATTTGTACAGTAGAAACGGAACCAAGAAGTAAAATAATTGCATGTTTTTTTTGCAATTGTTTCTTAATCTGATCTGTAAATGTTTTACAATATTACATTGGTTATTTTAAAAACGTACTAATTTCTTCATTTCCAAGTGAATTCTGTCCATAAACTGATTGTATAGATATTTTCTATATTGATTGAAGTCTTTTAAAGAGCAGACAGCGCGTCCGTCCTTTGTACAGTAACCAAGGTGCTTCATCCTGTTACGAGCTGGTTTCTGGGCGAAGTGATGCGCTAAGTGTGGATCATGAACAGGAACATAGTCGTAGGAAACGTTGTTACAATATGGGTCCGTAAGGTCAAAAGATGGAGTTGGCCCATCTTTACCTAAACCAAGACGCCGAACCTGTAAGGAGTAATAAATAAAATTATCTTCGGATACGTTTGACAGTACTTTAAATGGTTTAAAAAATTGAATACTTGTTTTGCTAATTAATTGGGAATATTTGTTGGAATTTTATTCTTTGGAATCAATTAATTTATTCAATCTTGGAATGATTAATAAATACATAATATAATAATAATTTAAATCTTAAAACAAAATGAAAGCTTGAAATCATGGATATTTGAAAGCACTTGAAATCAGTGTCTGTCATAGGACAATCTATATTGGCTCTATGCCTGACAAAATCAAATTTTCGATTTTTTTAAACTTTTTTTTTTTTTTTTTTTTTAATTTATATAATGCTACAAATGTAATTATTTTTTTTGTATCTCAATGTTTGTTGTTTTTTTAATATTTTTATTACTCTTTAATTAATATCTATTTCGAATTTGTAAATATTGAGGAACATGTATACTAACTTTTTAGTATAGTATTTATTCTAAGAGTAATTGTCTTCACATATAATTATTTAACAAATGTAACAAAATATTGTAAACCTATTTTAAAAGAGTAAGTGTGTTGCCCATTCTTCTCCACAGAAACTACCTTTTGGAAGGGGCAACTAGAATCATCTTTATATTTTTTTTTTTTGACGTTCAAAAGTGCCATTTTAGATGGTCTAATTGAAATAAACGATTTGACTTTGACTTTGACTTTCGATATCATTAAAGATTACAAACCACAGATGAAAAGCTAAAGTAATTTAACTATCCTTTTACTTCCCTCCCACTACCGAATCTCATGCTGCGATCGCACCATCTAATGCGTAAAAGACTAAACAATAACAAGACAGACAGGTCGAAGTCGATCCCCGATAACAAAGACGATTCAAGGACATTTCAGATTTTTTTCGAGCCCCGAATTTATTTTGCATTGTATTCATATGTATTATGTGTATTCAAAGCCAAATCACGTTAATAGACCAAAATACCGGGACGGTGAGGAGCCATTAGGCTCTCTGTGAGTCCATTAAATATATCATCATTTCATTACATTCTTCATTTTCTTTTCAATGTGAGTCAGTCAAAAGGTTGTCCCAAACAACAACAAAAGAATTCCGAGGCGTACTCTTTAGTTTAAAGAAGTCGATTTTTAGAACTAAAATACTATTTAGACATCAAAACTAAAAGTCACCCCAATGTGGGAAATTTTTATTAAGTGACATTTTTTGTTTGTTAGCGAAACATAATAATTTGCCTAAGCTAACCTGAACTACCTTTAACCTTTGAGATTTGTTATTTAGTAAGTAACAAATTAGTATGACGAGGCAGCCAATGCCGGAAGCCAACTGAGTAACGCTGAAAGCGATAAATTTCCTGTTCTTTCAGTTGCGATATTGAAATTTATGAACATTTAAAGCTTCTCTCGTCTTCCACCATTTGAATCGTTTTAGCATAAATAACTTTCCTTTAAATTAAATATTAAATAATACAGCTACTTGATGAGTCCTTGATCTACTATCTGAAACTGTAGAATATATTCCAGAATAATAAACATCTGCATAAAAATAACAGATATAAACGTGAAATTGTTAGAATTGAACAAAAATTTTCGAAAATCTGTTTAAAATAAACGAGAGATCATAAAAGTAAAGTAAAAATGTTGTTTTGACCGGCTTGTCATGAGCATTGACGAACCCGATCAACTTTGGAGCGCTGTTACCGCGTTTCCAATTAACGAAATTAAAAAAAAATATAGAGGAAAATCTTCAGAAAGAGATCCTCTACAAAATTGTCCTGACATAATTTTTTGATAAAATCAAAAGAAAAGAAGTTAATAAGCAAAAAGGTAAATTTTTCACTTTTTTACTTATAACTTTAGAGTTTTGGCTTTATGATAAAAAGTCACACATACATAATTGTCGGCAAAGCGATTTGCTACAAAATATGTCTTCACAATTTTTTTGGACGGTGGATAGTTTAGGAGATATAGCCAAAAACGTGTTTTCGCCCCTTTTTCCAAGATGGCGGCCGGGGGACAAGGGCGCCAACCCCACAAACTTGGGTTTAAGCTTGTATTGACCCCCCCTACATGTTCCATCAATAAAATTGCGTCCTCTAACAAATGTTCAGTTTGGCCCTCAAATTGTAACATTTAAATGGACTTAATATGGTTTAAATCGTTCTTTGCGAACTGACAGCCAAGAAACATATATTGAACCAATCGAAAAAACCAACGCTGCGAGCTTTTGCGTCGCTATAGAAGGTAAATCGCGACGCCCCCGTCATCGTGACGAGAATAGATCAAAATATAAATCCGACTAAACCAGGCAATGTTATTGTTAGCGCCATAATACCATGCTTGGACTCCTAAATCCTTGTAATCAAATTCCCCTTTTTGTTCTACCCAGATGACCTACTTTGTTACAAGCCTCAAACTAAGAATCGAAATTCTACTAGTATGTCTACTATAAAGTTTGTTGTAAATTGTAGGCGGCTAACAAGTCATGAAAAACAGTTTAACTATATCAAGATCCAGATATACCTGATGTAATTTTTTATTTATTTTTTAAGATTATTATTAAAAAAAATAAACAAAGAAAGGTATATAATCTAGTAAGATAGTTACATTTTTAACGGTATTCTTTTTTGCTATATCGAATAGGTATATAAAATTACAAATTCAAATTCAGTAGAAAATCTATATTAAATACTATAAAAAGAAAAAAAAAAAAAAAAAAAAAAAAAAAAAAAAAAAAAAAAAAAAGAAAAAGGGAAAAAAAAAAAAAAAAAAAAGGAGGACCTTTGGTTAAAAGAAACTTTAAAAAGTTTGTGTGTTTGTGTGTAGAGCACACAAAAAATAAAAAAAAAAAAGGGGGGTTTATGTGTAGATTTAACCAACCAAACGAAATGTAGGATATGCCTTATGCTAAAGTATTTCACTTAATAATTGTGATCGCAAAAATAATACAGATAATAGAAACTAGAAACAGATTTAAATAACGCAGTTGCTAAAATAACATTCATCAAGCACCGTAACTTTCGATTTCAAACTACTAAACATTTTATATCGCTGAAGAGGTTGTGTTCTTACAGTAAACAATGTTTTATAAGATCCGGTATAACCCATTTGTGTTTACAAAATTAGAAATTAGTAGACAAGGGTCTATTTCACAATGTAGGAGAAGTTTTACATAAGTCCAAACGAATTTATGACTTATTGGTAGGATAAACCTATTGTTGCGTTTCACGACTGTCGATAGCTATTCGTAATTTAGGGTGAGATCTATGGGCTTTGCACATACAATTAAACTATGATTCGTATTTATAGACATTTTAACTAAATAGCCAAGCCCAAGCTAATACAGAAAATGTCAGAAACAAATTGATGTTTCATTTCATGCAAACTTTGTTTTATCCTTTAAAAAATTAACAATAACAAATATTTAAACATCTAAAACGGTACACATTCTTAATTTATTGTTATTTTGTATCATATAACAACTACTAAAACATAACTTTAGAAAATGTATAATATGATACAATAATTTTCGTAGGAGGTCGCATGTTCTGTTAGTAAACAATTTGAATTTCGTTGTCACTATAAGATGCCAATTGCCAGGGCTGCCAGGTGATATAAAAATCACACCAGTATTTTTAAGATTTCTCAAAAATGGGGTTTGAACAATTACATAAATAATATAAATAAGCAACAATAAATACCCTAATAATGTGTAATTATTTTATTTCATGCATTTCATAGGTATTTATCAAGATCTTTATAATTTCTTTGAATTCAATCTATTTTCCCAAAGTCTATGGAACTCCGATACAAAATGGCAACACCGTTCTTAAAACCACACAAAAATAAAGTCCAGTAAAAGATGATGATGGAAAGCAAATTTGGGCCATTTTTTTGTTAGCTTATTCAAAGTTTTGGAGCGTCGATTTCGTGGACTTGAGATTAAGCTAAGCCAACACTAGGGATAAACTCGTATTGTTGCGTTTTTAAATACCGACTGTGTCTTAGCTCGATAGTTAAGTCAGAGCAAAGTCTAAGTGCGCACTATAGATCGTCACCCTAAGTCCATCATAAGTTTGAGTCCGATGAAGTGTCAAATAGCACAATTTATCTTCCAAATAATTTATGTGTTGCATAGCTATTTGGTACTTTATCCATACATTGTGAAACAGACCCTAAATCAGCTTGTTTACAACATATTTGGAATCATTTTTAACACTGTGATTCTACTAATGAGCTGTTAGACACCAACAAGAGAGAACGTAACGGAGACAACGGTGAACACACACAAAATAATATATTTCTAATATACATGAAACTATAACGCCTACCCTCGATAGGTATATAGAACATAATAGTATAAACTAATTTGAAAGTTTGAGATACAATTGACTTTACGATTTCTCAAAATTTTTAACTCAGGAATGCATACTTTATAGTTTCATTACGGTATGGTATTTATACCAGAAACATCTATGATTCAAATCTCTGGCTGTATTACAGTTCCACGAAACAAGGGTACTCACGCTCGCACGTAATGAGAGAGATTTAAAAGGATTTTACTTTAATACTTTGAAGAATGTTCGGTTCATTTGAGCAAAATATATTTTCTATATGAAAGCAAACGAGCTAATGATGAAGTGCTAAGCACCAGCCATGAATATTTGTAAAGCTTAGACTGGTACGCTCTTTTCTTAAAGGCATCAACACGTAATCCTATATCATTACTATGATTATAAACTATATTAATTTAAAGGCTACGAATAATATATTACTAATTATATAGGTATATGTACTATGTATGGTTATCTTAAACACGAAATGTAAGCTATATTTAGGCGTAAAAGTTATCAAGGCAGATAAACGTCTCACAACATAGTTGTATATCTTTAATTAAATGATCTATTTAAAGTTTATACTAACATCTTCACCAATTTTTCCTCGTGAGAAAATAATTCTGCCCTTTGGCATTTTCGGTACTGGCAATTTATTCTCCAAACCCAATCGGTACCACATTGGGAGTCCATTCTTGGGCACTGCTCTTACAGGCTTGGGTATGGAATCAATAACTTTTTTCAATTCTGTAGGTTTACGCAAAGTCATCAACGTTGTATCAATGTCATTTAGATCGTCTGTACACAAATCAGACGACATAATTGTTTTTTTCTTGTAAACTTTAAAAAAATAAGCAACAAACGCACACCGCAAAATACCGGGAAATAGCACTAAAATTTGACAAAGATTGTCAAACTGACAACTGTAATTAGTGTATGTTTTATGGGCAGAGTGCTGTCAAAGGAGGTTATATATGAATAGGTTGTAAAATACGACAGAAAAATACTATTTAAAAGTAACAGAAAATGCAAATAAAGTTAAACCTCTTCAAATCTACCGTTCATTCAGTGGGAACGGAAAATTAAAATTCATGAATGTAGCGTTCGCTATGAAATAATGCAATTTTCATTTAAGAGGGAATTCAATAAAGACTAAACAATATATCATAATACTTGTATAGCTAGAAAAAGTTGTCCTTTAGATACTCTCTGTACTTCTAGCAAAATAGTTGCCAGTTCATAATCATATTTCGTTTTTAAAGAAATTCGGTCAAAATCTGTTTAAATGGTGTGAGAGACAACAATAATAATGCGACGCATATTAAAACTCGAAGATGCAGGGTTAATTTCCCAGCAAAAAAATAATTTATTCAGAATGAAATGAAAGTCCGGTCTAAAATATTTGAAACTAATTAAATAAACGTGTACTAGTTAGTACGGAGATTGCGATAGTTAATAAAAACATGTCAAGTGAGGTTAAAATTATTAAGATTTGAATAATCCGCAAATATGTATTGTGTTTGGTACTTTAAAGCATACCTATCAAACCTAATCATTCTATCTTCGTTGGCTTTAGTGTAATATAAAAAACTTTACTAAAACCAACTTTGCTTAATTGTTATCATAATTGCTACTGGTCCGGTCGATTGTACCGAGCTAGTAAGCAAAATAAACCTTCGAACATATAACAAAACACTTAGAATCATGAACCTATTGCATGTACCCAGAGTAAACACAAATTATAGAGGGAGCAACTTTATGGTTAGAGCGGCGAACAAATTTAATGACTTAACGATTGATATGTTCGCTGAGAGTGTGAGGACAGCAAGGATAGCTTTGACACAAAATTATTTCAACCATGATGAATGAAGTGCATTGATAACCTTTCATTGTCAACTAATTAAATTCTGTTTTTTCTTTTTTGTTTTACACTAAAAATATTTGGCATTTACCATCTTGTTTTATGAAAAAAAAACTATATGTGAAGATTTGTAATTGGCCCACAACATCTATTTCTGTATTGTGCTGTGAATCTTTTGAATAAATAAATAAATAAATATCAGTCCATCATTATGACAAAAATTTCAGTTTTCCGTCTTTGACGCTTAACTTTCAGTTATATTCCGTTCCCAAAGTCCAGGTCACAAAGTTCCTAGAAATTATGTCGTTAAGCTAAAGCCGAGCGGGCTATTTTCAGGTATACATTAAGCAGCAGACTGCCGACCTGACCGATCGCCTTCGTATTATTTTGGTTCATAATACCATTTATAGATCAAGTTCGACACTAAATTGGTCAAGGGTTAGAATCTATACTATATATCGATTCAGACTAGAAAAGTTTCTATTAATACTGAACTTATTAAGATATATAATATTTTTACCGTCTACATTAGTGGTTATTAAAAATTTGAAAGATTTTTAATGAGCCTAACTCAAATACTAAGCTACTTCAAGAGAAATTATGGTATAAACACAAGAGCCTTTTTCGTCATTTCCGTCTCTCAAAAAGCTCTTTTCTTAGATTTAAAGCACAAGCTTTAAATCTAACTATCTAACAAAGAAACGAAAGATCAAATATTTGGCTGCCTCTTAGAGAAGCAAGACGCAGTCAGCTGTTGTCCCAGCATCACCAAAATGGGATGATGAGGCATCGACTTACAGCGCACCTCACACCGTCCGTGTCTATCGTTTTCTACTACTCTCAACCTATAATATCTGTTAATACAGTTTCTCAGATTTAAAAAATTACTAATTTGACAATATTTAACGAGAGAAAGCTATAAAACAAAACGTAGTATACATATTTTAATTTACACTACAACAACATCCACCTATAACATCCCTATTTCTTTTGGAAAACAGCTTGCGATCAAAGGGGAGAGTTGTATGTGCTTTGGATGTTATATTTAGGACCAACAGCTACTAATGGAACGTAATTGGATGTGATTGTAAAGCTTTACCGTTAGAAATCTGAATGACCGAAATAGTAATAGCATACCTTTAAAAGAGCCCTATATCCACTCTAATTCTAAAACAATCGTTTTACTGGCCCTTTCCCATAGGCTGATACAATATCTTATAATATTGAATTTCCTGAGAGACGGCTGAAATTTATGAAATAATTATTAACATTATTTTCAGACTCTGTAGACGTAAGAATTAATAGTTAGTCATTATCATGTGTTGTCATATATATGCAATCCTCTAAATATTTGTCTATATCTGTTTCAAGTAATTAAGAGAATTATTCAATGCATTGCATTCAATTGTGATCTTTCATATTTTGTTTTATTAAGTTGTTACAAAAGTTATAAATAGAATTACTTCATACTTATTATTTTGTAATCATTTTTGTATTTTATTCCTATTCTTATGCACCGTAAGAAGACGGAAGTTATCCACGGCATTAATATACACTGCAAAAGCCAAAACCTATTTCCATTAAGCGTCCAAAACTTGTTTGCCACTTCTATAGCTAGTACTAGACTATACACATTTACTCAGACTCAACACAAACAGTTCGTAGAAAGTCATCACGGTAATTACTAGACTTTAATTAAGAGTTGCGGAATAGCAAGTATAAGGGTCTCTACCCTGTGAATTAGGGAGTTCACCCCAGTAAGGGCCCTAAAGTCTAAACGATGAATAACAGGGGTTGAAGAGCTGTGTGCTTATTAATGTCGACTTAATATGTGTTACTATCAAACATATACCATAAAAAAATGAAATTCTTCCGTCGTTTAAAAATTGCTGCCAAAATAAATACGCTCCAATATGTGTTATCTCAAATAACATTGAGTTTTTATTTCTAATTTTGATACCTTAATTTACATTAAGTTGTAAGCAAAGTTTATTGTAACTAAAATTTGAATACTAACTATACTTAAAAACTTTACCCAATAGATATCCATATTACTAAAATTTAACAAATTTCGTATCATTACAATAATATATTATTGCGTAGCAAAAAAATGTACCAATGTCTTTTATTCAAATACTGAAAATCAACTGATTCATTTATATATTAATAACAAATAAAATTATTTACCATAAAATACTGTATTTAATTCCATAAATATTTAAGATTTTAACTTATACTTTATACGCTTATAAAAGAAAATGTAACTTAGTTCTTAACTGATTGATTTAATCAGTCCAAACTCTAAACAAAACGTCAGTACCTATAGCAGCGAAACCTAAAATTGTGGTGTTCTGATTAAACCAGTTAAATTCGGTATTCTGTTATAACTGCTTCATAAAATCCTTTATTACGCAAACATAAGAAGAGATAAAGTTCTCGGCCATATTATGATCCTCGGTTGCGTTTAATAAAAATAATCATGTGTAAAACAATCATGAAACCGCAGCTGTTTCAGGTGGATGCAAACGATGCAAGTCGCACAAGTAGAGTCGCGGTGTTTCGTTTAACTGCGCAGAGTGACTGCGCGACACACAGATGTGGTCTAACATTCGTGCGTCGCACGCGTCCTTTCTGCTAACCGACGCCCAGTTCTCGCGTATTTATAACTGAAAATAAATAAATAATAATTACAATTGTGAACGGAACACCCCAGTGATGTTTATCAAAACATTCTAATATATGCCATCGTAACGGTTCGTTCGTCGACAATGATTGTTTAAATATTTTTTAAGGTTAAGTTTGTTGAACTTTTTACGGCGTATGGTGACGTATGTGCATTGATAACTATATTTTTTCATTGTATTATGTAAATTTTTATTCCATGGTCGCACAAATTTCATGTTGTTCAAGGTCCGACGAGTACCAGTTGCGATAAAAAGATTATCTCAGTTTGCATTTAGAAATACTTTCGTAGTGGTTTTAAGATAGCAGTTATCAAGGTGAAAACATGCATAATAATAATATCAATGCACTTGTATATTTATATCAGATGTTTATTATGAATGACGTTAATAAACTCATGTTATATTTGTGTTTTATAATAAATTTACAAAAAAATAAAATAACCAATGAATATTCGTACTTTACAGCCTTAATAAAAACTAATAATAAATCACACCACAAACTTAAAAATATAAAAAAAAATCTTTATAAAATACAATTTAAAGTAGTTAAATGTAATATATACATAACGTATTATTTAATATTCATTGGAAGTAGCTGGCTGTAACCTATTAGTGAGATATCATAGTAAAGTATAAACAACGCAACTGCTTAGTCAATATGTGCAATCTAACAAGCAATTACTATATGAAATTTACTGGTCAAAACCTTAAATATTATTATATTCATTACTTTACAGATCTTAACTATTTTATTAGTAATAACTTAAATAATATGTTCCCGCGTAAAATAATCAAACTCTGTATGAAAAATTGTCACTTAAAACATACATACATACTTGGTTGTCAGTTGTTATCGTGATGTTTCATTTTTTCACAATAACGAATATGAAGCTTAAGAGATCATAAGGTACTAGGCAATAAACAAGTATATCCGTTCAGATACTTTATTCAATAAGGATTGATCTATTTTTAATATCGTACGTGCATTGTCTTTTATTTGTGCTTATGACACATACATTTATATTTAATACAATTTTAAAGGTACTTTTGCATACCTTTATATAAAAAGACAAAACACTTATTAAGTCTTAAAAATGTTATTTCTTTTTTGCGTGTGATAAAAAGATCCTAAAAATTTAAAAAACGTAATTGGTAGTTTTCAAAAAGGAATATTTATATGATACAATTTTTTAAAATTACGTATACAACATTGTAACAATCAATCATCTTTCTTCGAAATGCACTTAGTATTCGAATATTTTTTTACTGGGCATC